ACACCAGTCACAGTGGCTAGTAATAAAAAGCCAAATAACAACAGATGCTGGCAAGGCTGCTGAAAGAAAGAGAATGCTTGTACACTGCTGATGGGAATGTAAATTAGTTCAGCCACTGTGGAAAGCAGTCTGGAGATTTCTTAAAGAACTTAAAACAGAACTATCATTCAACCCAACTATCCCATTACTGGGTATCTATCAAAAATAAAATAAATTGTTATACTAAAAAGACACACATTTGTATGTTCATGGCAGCACTATTCACAATAGCAAGGACATGGAATCAACCTACATGCCCATCAATGGTGGACGGGATAAAGAAAGTGTTATATATATATATATGTACACACACACACATACATATACACACAGAGACAGATATATACCATATATATATATACACACACACATATATATACATACATATATACCATATATATTTACACACACACCTATATACCATAGAATACTACAGAGCCATAAAAAAGTATAAAATCATGTCCTTTCCACAGCTAGAGGCCATTATCCTAACTGAATTAACACAGGAACAGAAAACCAAATGCCACATGTTCTCACTTATGAGTGGTAGCTAAATTTTGGGTACTCATGGACATAAAGATGGCAATAATAGACACTGTAGACTCCTAGAGAGGAGAAGGGAGGAAAGGAGACAAGGGCTGAAAGGCTAACTACTAGGTACTATGCTCACTAAGTGACAGGATCAGTAGTTCCCCAAATCTTAGTATCATGCAATATATTCACGTAACAAGCCTGCACATGTACCCCATTAATCTAAAATTAAAATTACAATTATAACTAAAATAATTACATTAAAATTTCCCAAAAAATCAGATATATAACTCCCTTTGATTTTGTTTAGAGTGGACCTTTATTCATTAAAACATTTATTTATCACTTTACATGGAATATGGAGACCAGTTACCAAGAACTTCATGAGTTGTTTCAACATTCACTGAAAACCAGTACCTAAGTGATAGTGAAATATTGATAAAGTTTTAGGAAAAAAAAAATAGTGTTTGACCTAAGGTGCATATATTTTAGTTTGAAGTCTGCCTAAGATATTACTATGGTTTGAGTGTGTCTTCAAAAAAAAACATGTGTTGGAAACTTAATCTCCATTGCAATAGTGTTGGGAGGTGTGGCCTAATGGGAGGTGTCTAGGTCATGAGAGATCTCCCTTCATGAATAAATTAATGTAAATTATAAAAGGTCTCAAGACTGTGAGTTTATTTTTGTGCTCTCTTATGCCCTCTCTTTCTTTGCCTTTGTGCCATGGAGTGATACCAGCAAGAAGGCTCTCACAAGATGCCATCGCCCTGGAAAGTCTGTGGACTTTCCAGCCTCCAGAGCTAAGAACCAATACATTTCTGTTCATATAAATTACTCAGTCTCAGATATTCTGTTATAGTAACACAAAATGGACTAGAACAGACATTTTTCAAATATAGCTCCATTGCTTTTGCTATTACATTGCAATAACTTTTGAATAGATAGGCAATAATTTTAAGCTAAAAAGTCTGTTTCAAAAGAATTTTTGAAAACTAAATGCAAAATGTTTGTCTATTTATGTCTATAATTCATTTTATTATGAAACCACATTCATAGTTTAAAAATAAAACTATACTGGAGTTATTAAGGAGTGATATCAGCAACAAGGTGGAGTAGGAATGCTGAACTTTCCTTCTCCCTGAAAATGCACCAATTGAGCAACAATTCATGAATAAATTTCCTTTGCGAGAAATCAAAAACTAATTTAAAGACTTTTGTACCCCAGGAGAATGCAAAACCAGATTTGCCAAAACCAGCAGGGAGATCCAGGACACCCTCTCACTACAGACCCTTCCCCAGTGCAGCACCTTTCAACTGGGAAGAGACTTTCAGTTCCCAGTTTTATCTAGGGAAGGAAGGGACTGGTTCACATCAGAGCAGTCAAATACATAAATCAAACATTGACAGAATTGAAGGTAGAAATAGACAGCAATAAAATAACAGTAGGAGATTTCAAAATCTCACTTTCAATAATGGACATAATGTCCAGTTAGAAGATCAATAAGAAAACAGAGGTCTTGAATAACACCATAGACCAAATGGGCCTAACAGACATATACAGAACATTTCACTCAACAACAGCAGAATACACATTCTTTTCAAGCACACATAAATCTTTTTCCAAGGTATATTACATGTTAGTTCATAAAACAAGACTTCAAAATTTTAAGAAGATTGAAATTATACCAAGTATCTTTTCTGACTACAGTGAAATAAAACTACAAGTCAATAACAGGAGGAAAACTGAAAATTTCAAAAATATGTAGAGATTAAACAACACACTCAAGAATGACCATTGAGTCAAAACAAATATTGAAAAGAAAATTTTAAAATACTTAAAGACAAATGAAAACAAAATAAAGCTACCAAAATTTATGGGATGCAAAATCAGTGCTAAGAAGGAAGTTCATACTTATAAATGCCTGCATTTAAAAAAAAGAAAGGTCTCAAATGCACAATCTAAATTTACACCTTAAGGAACTAGAAAAAAAAATAAATTAAGCCAAAAGTTAACAAAAGAAAGGAAATAACAAAACTTGGAATAGAAAAAACAGAAACAGGAAAAAAGCAATGAAATTAAGACTTGGTTTTTGAAGAGATATAAAATTAATAAACTGTTAGCTAAACTAAGAAAAAAAGAGAGGACTCATGAATAAAACCATCAATGAAAGAAGAAACATTAAAATCGATACCATAGATATAAAAAACCCAAAAGATATTATTCTGAACAATTACATCCCAGCACACTGGAGAGCCTAAAAGAAATGAATAAATTCCTAGAAACATACAATCTACCAAGACTAAATCATAAAGAAACAAAATCTGAGCAGACCTATAACTAGTTTGGAAATCGAATTGATAATCCTCCCAACAACAAAAATCCAAGGCCTGATGGATTCATTGGTGAATTCTACCAATTATTTAAAGAATTCACACAAATATATCTCAAACTATTCTTAAAAACTGAAGAGGAGGGAACACTTCCAAACTAATTTTATGAGACCAGAATTGCCCTGATACCAAAGCCCAAAAAAGACACCATAAGAAAACTACAGACCAATATCCCTGATGAATACAGATGCAAAAATCCTTTTAAAACTACTAGCAAATGGCATCCAACAGGACATTAAAAGGATCACACACCATGACCAAGTGAAACTTATCCCTGGGATGCAAGAGAGATTCAACATATGAAAATCAATGCATTACACAATATTAAGAGAAAAAAGATAAAAATCACAATTGTCTTAATAGATGCAGAAAAAGCATTTGGAAAATTCAGCACACGTAATGATAAAAATTCTTAATAAACTAAGAATAGAAGGAAATTACCTCAGCATAACAAAAGCCATATATGACAAGCCCACAGCTAACATTACAGTTAATTATAAAAAACAGAAAGCTTTTCTCTAAGGTCAGAAATAAAACAAAGGTGTCCACTTTTCCCACTTCCCAACGAATTCTGTAAAGTTGTAGGATACAAAATAAACATATAAAAATGAGTTTCATTTCTCTACACTAATAACAAAATATCTGAAAATGAAACTAGGGAAAATTACATTTATGAAAGCATCAAAAATAATAAAATATCTAGAAACAAACTTAACTAAGGAAATAAAAGACGTACTGCCACCTATAAGACATTAATGAAAGAAATTAAACAACATGTAAACAATTGGAAAGACAGATCATGATTATGTATTGGAACACTTCACATTGTTAAAATGTCCATACTTTCTAGACTTATCTACAGAATTGGTGCAATCATTATCAAAATTTCAATGACTTTTTACAGATATAGTAAAATAATTTCAAAATTTATACGGAGCCCACATAAAAATTAGACCATGAATGGCTAGGTAAATCTTGAGAAAGAAGAACAAAGCTTGAGGCATCACTTTCTGATTTCAAAATAGATATATAATAATCAAAACATTTTAATAATATGAAGTGACAGTACATACATCTTTTAACTCCTTAGTTAAGTATAAGCACAGTATAATATTGGCATAAAAATTGATATATAGACCAATGGAACACAATGGAGAGCCTACAATTAAATCCATATATATAGGCAACTGATCTTCAACAACGATGTCAAGAATGAACAATGGGGAAAGAATCATATCTTCAACAAGTGGCGTTGTGAAAACCAGATATTCACATACAAAAGAATGAACCTGGATTCTTATACCATATAAAAAATAAATAAATAAAACCTCAAAATGGATTAAAGACTTAAACAAAAGATATAGAGATATTGGAACCCTGCACATTGTTGGTGGAAATCCAAAGTGGTGCAGTTACTATAGAAAAATTATAGTGGTACCTCAAAAAATTACAAAGATCACTACCTTCTTTCTTTTTTATTGCATTTTAGGTTTGGGGATACATGTGAAGAACATGCAAGATTGTTGCATAGGTACACACATGGCAGTGTGGTTTGCTGCCTTCTTTCCCCTCACCTGTATCTGTCATTTCTCCCCATGCTATCTCTTCCCACCTCCCCACCTCCCCGTCCTTCCCCCAATTCCCCCCGACAGACCCCAGCGTGTAGTGCTCCCCTCCCTGTGTCCTTGTGTTCTCATTGTTCAACACCCGCCTATGAGTGAGAACATGTGGTGTTTGATTTTCTGCTCTTGTGTCAGTTTGCTGAGAATGATGGTTTCCAGGTTCATCCATGTCCCTACAAAGGAGGCAAACTCATCATTTTTGATAGCTGCATAATATTCCATGGTGTATATGTACCACATTTTCCCTATCCAGTCTATCGTCGATGGGCATTTGAGTTGGTTCCAGGTCTTTGCTATTGTAAACAGTGCTGCAATGAACATTCGTGTGCATGTGTCCTTACAGTAGAATGATTTAAAATCCTTTAGATATATACCCAGTAATGGGATTGCTGGGTCAAATGGGATTTCTATTTTTAGGTCCTCTGTGATGTCAAGCACTTCAGGGTGGTAGACGCTGCTATTGTCGAACACCTGCTGGATGACCAGCCCAAAGGAGAAAGGAGAGATGTTGAGCATGTTCAGCAGCGTGGCTTCGCTGGCTCCCACTTTGTCTCCAGTCTTGATCAGCTGCACATCACTCAGGATTTCAACGGTGCCCCTGAAGATTTTAGTGGTGATACTTAAAGCCTGGAAAAAGGAGGTCTTCTCGGGTCCCATACCAGTGTTCTGGGCTGGCACAGTGACTTCACATGGGGCAATGGCACCAGCACGGGCGGTAGCTGGGACCTTATTGGCCAGCAGCATGTCCTTGATCTCAGTAAGGTCCTCCTTGGTGAACACAAAGCCCACATTCCCCCAGATGTGAGGCAGCAGTTTCTCCAGAGCTGGGTTGTTTTCCAGGTGCCCTCAGATGGCCTTGTGCATCATGGTGTTCTTGCCCATCAGCACCACGGCCTTCCCACAGAGGGACATGTTGCTCTGCTGCATCTGCTTGGAGCCCACATTGCCTGCTCCACAATGAAGCATTTCAGGTAATCGTCCAATAGTTGGATGATCTTAAGGAAGTAGTTGGACTTCCAGGTCGCTCTGTTTTCCCTGGGCATCACGGCAGTGCGTCAGTGATTGCCACACAGAGTTTAAAGACAATGTCACTTCCACTTCCACAGCCTGGCGAGAGAAGCTGTTATTTATATTTTTAAAAAGGTTAATTGGGGTTATATTAGTGTTAGCAATTTTGACATGGTCTAATTGTGTCTTATCTGTTCAATTGTCTTTATTTCACCACACTTACTGAACTCATTCCAAATGCCTTAACTGCTTCTTCTTTCACCTAAACTTGCCTTTTATAAAAGTGGCAATTCTCTTCCCAATTTTTTTAAGTCAGTTTCTCAAATCCTTTTTGCAATAACAGTATTTCTTCACTGGTGTTTCAATAGTAATAAATAACAAATTTAACAGTAACTGATGAGGAGGTGTAAGAGTTGAAACTAACATTTATAGGACAGGTACGCTACTTAGTACTTTGCCTACTTTCTCATGTAATTTTTATAACAGCGACTGAAAACAGAAATTGCTATGGTCACCAATTTGCAAACATTCCAGGTGCCATTGGGATATGAAGAAAAAAACTCCTGCAGCTACCTCAGTGTCTTCACTGACACGCCCAGTTTTGTGCTAAAACCCAGGGCCCTGGTGGTGTAGACACCCAAGGGAATCTCCTGGTGTGGGAGTTGCGAAAGGCGTGGGAAAAGCTAGTATCTGGGAGGGAGTGCACCACGGCACAGTCCCTCATCGCTTCCACTGGCTAGGGAAGTGAGTTCCCCGACCCTTTGTGCTTCCAGGGTGAGGCAACGCCCCATCCTGCTTCGGCTCATGGCTCATCCTCCGTGGGCCACAACCGCTGTCTAAACAGTCCCAGAGAGATGAGCTGGGTACCTCAGTTGGAAATGCATCAATCACCCGTCTTCGTTGATCCCGCTGGGGGCTGCAAAACGGAGCTGTTCTTGACTGGAGCTGTTCCTATTCGATCATCTTGCCAGCCACCTGAAATACATATTTTTAAACTAAAATATTGTTTGTACCACCATTTTTGAAAGAGAAGAAACAATTAGATCAAGACTTTATCCAAGTAAGAGTGAATGGGAAAAATAAGGTGGAGAGTATTGGTTGAATTTAACCATGGTCTTGAGACTAACACAAATGTGTGGTACTGGTTACAGCATCAAGTGGGCACAACCCTTCCCAATATTGCAATGAGGCCTCTCACTAAAACTGGGAAGTGAATTGGTTGAAAATTTGGAGGAAAAAGTTGAAGCATACTGATAAATCTTCTTATTTAGCTGGAATTTAAAATATATTATATAAGGCTCATAAATAATATAATGGAGCAACAAAAACATGGAAGAGTAAAACACCAAGAAAGATATTGTAACCTATAAAAATAGAAAGGGAGAAAGGATGGGTAAAAGAATGGAAAGGAAAAAGGAACAATTTTATTTACTATTCACAGATATTGTTTAAAGAAGTAGGGGGTCAGAGAATTATGTAAAGTTAAAGTTATAGTTGTAATTATAGTTAGTTATAGTTATGTTAGTTATAGTTAGTTATAGTTATGTCACAAATAGAACATAAATATAAACCTTTCAAACACATACGTAATCAAAAGAATAAAACACGCAAAAAAAACCTTAAAGCCACAAAAACATTTTAAGGCATAATAAAATACGGGGATGGAGGAGAGAAAAAGAAAAGGGGGGAAAAGGTCAGACAACGCTAAAAAAAAAAAAAAAAAAAAAAAAAAAAAAAAAAAAAGGCCACAGATGCCACAAATGAAATATTGTGACCCATAATTGTGACTCAAAATATCTGTCATTTCAACAAAAGTCTAATCTACTAAAAGAAAAACATACTTTCACATTTATTTGCCTCTGGATTTCTACTTCTTTCCTTGGGTCATATAATTGGGTCATTTCACATTTATTTGCCTCTGAATTTCTACTTCTTACTTTGGGTCATACAATTTGGTCATGACATATAACTGGGTCATTCCTCAATTATACGTCTTTAAAAAAAAAATCTTACAAAGGCAATGTGGACATGGCATGCCAGGAGCTATGAAATTATCTGTATGCACTTTTGATTGTGTGTCTTTCTATGGGTACATAAGGCCTTGCTTAGTGTGTGATATTATCTTTTTTGTACTATTGCTTTTTTACACAACTAAGTCTCACTTTAGAACCATATGTATCTTTATGTTTGAGGGTGCAGGCTTTATTAAACTTGATTTGACCTGTAAAATGTCTTATTTCATTTAAGGAGTCCTTTTCACATTTCTATATAATTATTTCAATCAGTAAAGCACATATTTCAAAAACTGATAGTATTAATTATTAGTCCTCAGTAAAACTTTGGCAATTAGCTCTTTTAGGATGTGGTAATACTGATTGGGAAATTTACGAAGTATCTAAATCCCTGTTTGGTCTGTATGGTTTGCCCTGAGTGTCATACTGACTTTCATCATGGGAATCACCTTGGCCTATCCTTCCTAACATCCTTTATTAAATCTTTAATATTAGTTCTCATGGGTGACTGAACACAGTCAAACGGCTCTGACTTCAGGGCCTTAATGGATGCCAACTTGTTAATATGAAATATCAATCAAAATAAAAATTCCAAGCGTATCTTAAAGGAGTTGAACTACATTAAAAAATCTTGGAGAGGCTCTGAATTAATTTGCTCAGAATATTTATTTCTTTTCCATTAACAAGTTTGGGCCAACACTATGTGGGTGGTAAAATTTGTTTTTTTCTTAATGGATTACTGATCCTTCATGGTTTTTTTTTTTTTTTTTTTTAAATCCACTCCCCAAGTCCACTTTTCAAAAATACTAGGTTCTCAAAACATCTGCATACACTTGCAAATGTGGACCTCCAAAGGAAAAGAGACAACTGCAGAATGTCGTGTCCAAAATTGGGCACAGGATTTAGGGACTGTAAACTGCAAATTGAACTTCATGTCCAGGACTTATTTCATCCACAGGATTGTTTGAAAGGTAATGTTTGAAGTTGCAAGTATTTTTCAAAGAGTTTTTACTCTGAATAAAAAAATAATAATAAAGATGTCTAGTATTAACATTTTGAACCCATGTTTACCACATTAAAGAACAGTATTTTATGGTTTTCTTGGATTATGTATAAGAGGAGTAGGTCATCAGTGTCAACAATGTAACCATATAATATAAAATTATTTTTCTGTTATTGATAAAATTATAAGCATGCCAGTAAACAAAATATCACACAATGACTTTTTAATTAAATTGGCACTATCCTTTAACATTGAAACTTAGAGTTTTCTAGCCTGGATTAATAATTTATATTTGTGCTCTTTAGAATTTTTAAATAATTGCTATCTTTTATCTCATTTATTTCTCACATAGCCTTGTAAGGTAATCAGAGCCAATATTTTGTCCATCTTACCAGTAAGGAAGTGGAGTCTCTCAATGTAAGAAGATAAAATCTTGCTCCCTGAGTATAACTGGTCTGGGAGCTTTTCATTACCAAGAGTTGTCTCTCTTAAAGCTCACAAACCTGCTACCTTCTATGCAGGATTTCATGCACTGCACATGTTTGAAACAATTCCTAAGTCCCTTGGGAAAAAGCAGAAGAGATGAAAAGCAAAATAAAATCTTGTTCCTGATCCAGGAGGAAATTGAGTACCAAAAAATCTTTGGAAACACAGACTCTCACAGACACAACCACTTCTAATCTTGCTATATGACATTCAGTCTAATTCTTGCTAAAAACCCACCCACAGAGGGCAAATCATTGCAGATTCACCAACTCCTTTGGCTGTTCTGAACTCCATTCGAAAGTTAAAAGAACGATATAGCCAGTAAGAAAATTATATTTAACCACAGAATATAAGTGCTTGCTGAAGTTTTCTTGCACAGATTTCAATATAAACATAAAACCAGGGATGTGAGTTTCACTTTCTACCAAGCATAAATTTGTTATAAATTTGCCTATTTTCAATTCCAATGTTAATTTCCAAGTAGGACAGTAAGATTTTTCTGTCAAATCATTGTGTTTAAATAATAATTCTGTATTTCTCTGTTTTTACTTCCATACTGACTATCAGAAATTGCTTCAAGTTTATAATGCTGCTTAAATTTGAGTAACAGGATGCTTGTTAAGGTGAAGGTTATTATCAAGTGCCAGTTGAGGGAAAAATTTAAAACTTGAGGTACCTTCTCCTGTATCTAAGGATGAGAACTGCAGGTTGCATTTGACCAGACTGTCTTTGTTCTGGGTTGAGTCCCTTGAATGGCCCTACTGAGTTATGCAAAGGTAATGTGAACTGCCCCCTTTGTCCTCAAGGAAGTTGTAACCAGACTATTTATTTATTTGTTTGTTTGTTTAGTGGATTAGCAAAAACTACCTCAGTAGAACTAGTTACCAGGGAAAGGCAGATAAACTTGTATGAGAAAACTTCATCTTTTTTTGGAAGAAAAAAGTGAAATTTCCCATCCCTACTGTTCCTACTTCTCGAAATTCAGCACTGAGAAGTCTTGTTGATATAGAGGAGACCACAGCAGCAAGGAGTAAGGCCCAGATGTAGGACAGATGAAGTAATCAAGTAAATTAAAATTGCCAGTAGAAAATCAGAATTCTGAGCTAAAAACTGGAGTTCAGCAACAGGACCAAAGATTTTGTCAAGGAAGGCTGTCATGGTACCAGAAGTTTCACCGGATATCATCAGTCTAGCTGGGCAGTGCAGAGCAATGGCTGACTGTGGGAACATGAAGTGAGGAGAGCTGTAACACTGGAGCTCAATGAGGCAACCGCAGCTGGACTAAGACCTGAATCAGAAGGACCACCCAACAGCAGTGGGCCAACACGTCTTCTAACCCACAGCCACTCCTCAGCAGAGAGAAGCAAAAGCAAGAGTAGACTGAAGAGGTTCTACGTATTTTTTTTCCCCGTGGCATTTGGAAAAAGAGTAACCTCTGATTGATTGTAAAAGGCCTTGGAATTGTTGAACAATTCAAAAATTAACGGAGTTTCAAGAGAATATAAACTGCCTAATAATAGGTAGGTGCTAATATGGTTAATTGAAAAAAAATAAAAGAAATGTGAAATTA